GGGGGGGGGGGGGGGGGGGGGGGGGGGGGAGGAGTAAGGTGGATGAGAATAGAGAGGCATTCCATTCTGTGGGGACCCTCCTGATGTTGGTCTTACTCGGTTCATGCGCACGTTGAATGGGAAGCGAGGATTTTGTTTCCAGGGACGTTAGCCCCTTGAGGGCTCGATCGACTGTTGGGGCTACTTTTTGGTCCCGTCGTCCCCACATGTTTTAGCTCGCGCTTTGGCAGGTACAATCGCGGGACGATACCGCAGGTTCAATACAATGGCGAGGTTCAAATGGCCTCTCGAGGGGCCATTTGGTAAGGATTACAGACAAAACGGCTAAGGTGGGAAGTCGGCTTGGTACTTGCACCCAGGGTAGGCACTGTCTGCATCATTCAACCAGCAGGCTTCCTCCATTAATCGTCCGGAAATTTCGCGACAACACCGAATTTCTGGTGAGCCTCGGAGGGACAGTTGTACACGGAAGAAAAGAGCTAGAGAAGAACGATGAAGAACAGCGTACGTACCACAGGAAGAGACGTAGCGGCCAGGTAGCAACCTATAATCGTGACGAGAAGGCGCTCATTGTTGAAACAAAGAAAAGAATGGCGGTAGTGTCAAACGAAAACGGGCCACGAGCGCCAAAAAGACTGAACAAACCCATGGGCAATGCTGCTGCTGCTGTGGCATGGCGGAGATGTTCCCTTCGTCCTTACAGGTGTTCTCGTCGCCACCTGGTCACACATACGCCGAACTGCTGTAGGCACGCAACGCGTTTTCTAGAGAGTGCCGCCGGCCAGCAGCTCTCGACAACAGCAACAGAGTTGTGGTTGTATTGCTCGGATTGCTTGCTAGCGCCCAATACGCCCTTGGCTAACGTAGTAGGTACGATACCTGACGACAGCCCGCAAGGCACTCTCCAGGGCCGGAGGCACCGCGATCAGGATCATGCTCGGCGTGGCTTCTTCTGACTTTTCAGTGGCGTTGGCGCTGGAACTAGGCTCCCACAGTGGAAGAAAATGGCGTTGCGATGGCATCAAGAGAGCGTCTCGTTCTCTTCAAACCCTTGCACGGGTGTGCTGCCTGTGGGTGGGCTGGATTGCACTTGCAGACAAAGCAGACAGCACCAGCAGGCAAGTCATCACCTTGGGGCTCCGCGAAATCAATCTGAGAGTCCCATTTCCGTGCCGCTAACCAGTCACACGTGGGGGGGCTACTGCTATTGAGCTCTGCGAAGGCAGCAGTGCGCAGCCCACCAGCAAGCACCCTATCCACTTTTGATGCCGTGATCATGGCACCTTCTGAAGAAAGAAAGGCGGAGGTGAGCGCAGAGACTATCGGCCCTGAAGAAGTAGTTTTAGAGACCAGAGGTACATTCTGCGAAACCAGTGATACACGGGTGAGGCCGGCCGGGGTCCCCTACAGAAGCTATACATGGAAGCTGGGCGATGCGAGGATGGATACGCGTATGATGGCAGTCTACCCGCAGCATGCTCGCGAACGACGACGATAACCAGCAGTGTGGCGGTGACTGAGTTACGGGGATAACGATGGTGCTCCAAGGGATATTATGTAGCGTGTGCCTTGTTTCCCGACATGCAGCAGCAGTATTTTTGCTGCCTGCACACGAACAATGATGTGACGCGCGACGGGCGCACCCCGCGGCCATATTTTTCCATGCTGCTGTATCGTTCTCTCACTCTTGTGACTCGAGACACAAGTACTCCGTCCTTTGCTGGATACTCAGGCAGGTGAGGTGACGAGTAGCGTTATGCTGGTGGAGGAGTTTCTCTTACTCAATCGCAGCTTCATCATCACACGGCCTTTACTCTGTGTTCTTTACATTTGCTTACAGTGGCTGCTGTCACAGCGCCCACCCCCCCGCTCCCGCTCCCTCCCCGCTGCGTTCATCATTCCTCCGCACCGACGTAACGCCGTACCCACGATCGATGTTGCGGCACCGACAGCTTGTCGCCTTGTTTCTGGAGGTTACGCACTCTTCCGATGAAGCTCAGGGGGCTCAGGTGAAGATAGGCTTAGTTGATTTATTTGTCTAGAGCAGTATACTGCTGTAGTACTATATAGCTGACAAGCTCTCGTGATTACCAAACTTCGACGTTAGCACCGTTGACGAGGGAAAGGGACGGCTGGAGCCTTCTCGCGATTAAAAAAAAAATCAGCACGCATCGCAGGAGGAAGGTGGGGCATGAAAAGAAATGAAAAGGAGAAAAAAGCCCTGGTGTTTACCCCCTCCTGTGTGACCCTGGATGGTTGTAGTTGTACGAAAAATACATTGAAAAGTGTAGTACTCTACATACGCTCAAGAGTGTAGTACAGTCGACCCCGCTTGAAGGAAACCAAAATTAAGGAAACTCCCCGGGTAAAGGAAACAATTTTTCGCCGAAACACAATACCCCGCAGAATGTAAAATTTACGGGGGGTCCATATTCTAGTCCGCGGAACCCCTTAAAGCACGTTTTCGGTGTACCCTCTTCGCCAGCAGAGAGGTCTGCTGCTTCACCTGCTGTCTGCGGTATGCAAAGATTCGCTTCACCTACCGGTGCGTCCTCTGCACCTGGGTTAAAACGGTGTGGTGAACCCACGTGCACGATCACGAAGCTCGTGTCGGGTATCCACACATGCCCTTGCGGTCGATGGATGCACGCGTTTTGTGGTCGCGGCATCGGGAAGGAAGGCTGCGGACAGCAGAGGGAGTGCACGGAATGTCAGAAGTCGTAGCGTTGAGTGTTTTCGGTTTGTCGGCCATACGCCGTATTGTGTGCTTGTGTCTGAATGGCGCTCCAGTAGAGAGTAACGCAGGAGAGTTTCTGCGTGCACTCCCCCAGGGGTAAACAAGAGTCACCAGATGAATTTGAAGTGTCCATCAGGTATTTTCCGTGCTGCGTGGTGGTGTTCAGCAATAAACAATTATTTTCTCGCCAACTCCCAGCCTCTTTTTTTTTTCCAACAATGCCCTGCCCAGGGCGCACCTTTTGACGTATGTACCGCCACCATTGACCCCGGGGATGGTGCGTTCTGATCCCCTGAAGCTTAAGGAAACTTCCCCGCGTTAAGGAAACATTTTTTGAAGCAAAACCTTATGTTTCCTTAAAAGGGGTCGACTGTACTCTACATACGCTGAAAAGTGTAGTACACGTCTCACCACGAAAAATCGGGGGACTGTCGCCATAATAAAAAGGACGAAAACACACACACACAAAACATGCTGTAGTTTTCTTCGTGAAGAACCTGCTGTTGAGGTATGCATGTTTATGTAGAGCACCGGGGTTGGACACGAGACACACTGCTGCGATCGATGCTGCAATACAGCGAGCTCACCGGGCTAAATGTTAATGTTTCTGGCGCAAAACGTGCGTGGGAAATCGCGCTCCGCTGTACGCTTGCGAGAATGTGAAAACAAGGCAGGCGGCCGCGCAAGGTGCTTACCTCGACATGTAGTCGACATGCAGCAGTATTCCCCACTGCCTGCTGAGCAGTCTATCGCGGGTGTAAAGCTGAAAGTGCTTGCGAGAAGAGCAGCGGCAGGGCGGGTGGCTGGGGTGGCAGTACCGCCAGACTTGATGCGCGTGATTTGGAGGAAGATGGTTTCGCCTTCACTTCCTTCGAAATAACAAAGTAAATAGTACTTCTAACGCATGCTGGGTGCTTTAGCAAAACCAGCGACGGTACGGCCCGGAAGGAAGCGGCGACCCCACATGAACCCATACCATGAGGCGAAGCCACCACCGCTTCTGTCGCTCCAGACAGCACTGCTTCTAAGATGTGCTTTGGCACCAACTTACAGTAGTTAGAGAGAAAGAAGGGTCCTGGGGGTTGTTACCTCGAAGACCGAATCTACGAGGTAGATCCGCCGGCATCGGGGCCTAAACCTGAACCTGGGAGAGCTAACTTGTGGTGTATGTATGGACCTACGGTTGTTTTTAGCACCCGTAGTTGAGAAGGCTGGAGTCCACAGCGGGGGGGGGGGGGG